TGTGTTTCTTGGCCCAAAAGCATGTGGAAACACTGCCGTGTTCGGCCCCAAGCGGTGTGGAAACTGTGTGTTTCTTGGCCCGAATGCATGAGGGTATATCGCTGACAGGTCGTAGCGTTTCTGAAGTTTAGAGGTGCCCTTGAAACGTGTTTGGGGAACCCCCCAAACTTAGCTTGGAGGACGCGAGTGGTCCCTGCTAGCCAATTTCGTTCGGAGCCTTCTCCGGAACTCGTGCCTGGGATTCCTCCTGAGTTCGAGCCTCCGCCGTCAAAGTAGAACCGGACCCAGAACTGCCTTGAACCCGGACCCCGGCCACTAAGAACGAAGCGAGCCCAAAACCGAGCCAAACCTTCTAAGATCCGAAGCTTGAAGCCGAACTGGGGGGCACGTAACTGCACGATTCAACCTGCCGGTGAAAGGATCGCTGCTAGGGCAGAGAGTCTCCCAGCACGCCGGCGAGCATCAGCTGCCAGGTGCCTATGCTCATAGGCCGAGAGGCTCGCCCACGTAGAGTGGATGTCCGCCAAGGCCCAGGATCCAGCCTCTCCCAGAGCTTCGTTGATCAAGGGAAAAGTATGCGAAGCCGGGCCTTGCCAGGTGTCCGCGTGGTGCTCGCAGCTCACAAGGAAGCCTTGGCCTCGCCACTTCGGATCTAAGGCTCAGCCTGAGTCGCCTGAGGTTCCCTCGGTGAAGCTCACGATCCCTTTCTCTCCCTCGGTGAAGCTACTAATTCCTCACGCATGAACGAAGATCGATCAACAGTCTCTCTAAAAATCCAATCCACGCAGTCCAGGCTTCAGGAACAAGCGGGTGCAAGCTGAGCTTGCCGAGCAGAAGCTCGGGAGCATGGCTCCGTCTGAAGCCTTGCCTGCCTCGTTTATGCTTTGTGGCCTCGTGTGGCTGAGGTGACGGACCTGTGCCTGGGTCGCTTCACATGCCCAGGTCAAGCTAAGTGTCTGTTCTGGTAGACCATGTCGCCCTGGTACTCTGCAGCAGTTGCCAGGTAAGTTCCATTGGCCTCAGTGGCTGCCACCAGGCGGCCCAACAGTGTTGAATACGTCGATTCTAGACTCTTCGACTCCTGCCCGGGCTTCAAAATCTCTCCCTTTGCAACCGCGGGTCTTGCTCCCAGCCGGCGCCATGCACGACCAGAGCAGCGCTGCGGCCGCGAGCAAGGCGCGACATGTGGCAACATGTGGCAACGCCCAGCCGGGGCCCTGGTACGGTATCATGTCAGCAGCCATCGCACCCGTTGCGAGTTGCCGTGAGTCCGTGTGTCGCTTGCTGGTGTCTCGTCGTGCTCTGGAGCCAAGCATAACCAAGCTCGGGCGAAACTTTCGAAGGAGTTCCACGTCATCCTGCTACTGGATTCGTGGCTGTAAGATCCCGTAAGTTGCTCAACTCTCGCAGCCTGGATGTCCGAGTTCTCTTGAAATGGAACCTGCAGTGAGGTAGGCTGCACAGTGGCGAAATGCCGCGAAGATCTCTCTAGCACCACACTGTGAAGCTGAGCTAGGCCCAGAGCACAAAGCATGGCAAGCACCGCGCGCGAGGCAAGGAGCTCCAACCTGAGGACTTTCGCAGCTGCACGGGATGTATTATCTGTTCCTCGGCCGTGCTCTGCATCCGTCTCAGGTCCAGACTCGCTCTTCGGCATGTTTTGCTTCGCTCCCTGCGCTGCGCAAGATGCAGACAAGCTTCAAGCAGGTATGGGACATCACAAAGCACTAACAGATTCAACGGCCAGCGATGGTTTCAATTCAAGTTCCGAAACCTCATTTTCTCGAATGTTGGAGTGAAGATGCCTGCCGTTTCAGAACGCAGAGAGAAGCCTTCTCGGACAGCGACACCTTTTTTTCGCCCTGCGCCCTGCGCCTTTTGTTGACGCTTGCTGCGACTGAAACTGAATTAGCTGAAATGAAATACCACCGCGGCGGCACACAAGAACAAGAGCAATATTTTTGGGTAGAGTTCGTGTCTTCTTGAAGTGCTGCTGCTGCTACTGGCATGAAGCACGCTCGAACGCTTGCCCTCTTCAAGGGAAGCATAGGTGATATTAAAAATCTCAGTCCGGTCCGGGCCATTTCTTTGCAAAGCCGGCTCGCCGGCTAATGGCAGGACCCCGTTGACATTGCCACAAGGCCTGAAGCTGTTGCAACCGTTGTGATTACCTAGGATGTGCTGGCAGTCTCGGACAATCACATGTGTAGGTCGCACCAAGAAAGGGAGCATCGGACGACGGGCCCTGGGCTCTTCGGCTATGCTTTGCATTACAACCATTTACAACCTCTGCCCGTGTGATCCCTCCACGGCCACTCAAGATGTAAACCCATTGGGCTACGGTCTTTTTTGCCTCCCACCTAGCTAGGACGAAGCCCACATTGCAGGGTTACGGTCTGCAGTGGAGGCTTTCAAAAGGCTGGCTGACATTTTCGTAACACGGAGAAACCTTCGCTGCAGTCTGTGCGGTTACTGAGCATCAGAAGACACTCAGGGCCGGAAAGCCAGACAGCTCAATCGCGTGGCGTACAACCTCGCAAAACACTAGATTTGTCTGAGAACGTACTGGTGACACCGGGCAGACAGTTGGGCAAGGAAGTGCAGGCCGGCAACATTCTTTTATAATTTTATACAAACCTTCTATTCTGAGCCCACGGGGAGGGGTCGCTAGATTGCTTTTTCACAAGGCTTCACGCTGCTTGCCCAGTGGCTGTTGCCAGAAGGATGTCAATATCTGTGACCTGCAGAATGGTGGACCAACACATTCCCTGACACGTGCATCAAGTGTCCACCTTTCCCTTGAAAATGCTTGGCATCCGCACAGAAAGCACAGAACCTGCGAGAGGACGGGCACCCTTGGAGTTTTTCAAGGACCTGCCGCTGATATATGCGAAGTTGACCCTCCATCCTTCTTCTTTCAATTTCGCTGGATCCTTTCAAATCCCGCCTCTTCGGCCACCCTGCGGACAATCAGGTCTTTATCCTCAGGTAGATGAGACAGACAAGACAGACAGACGGCAGGCAGGCAGGCACATCACACACCCGCCGCGTGCGCTAGCGCGCACTTGGGCCAAGCATCGTTAACGGAAATACTGGTCACAGTTCGAAGCAGGCGCTTGTCCACCGTGACAGCCTTGGCCCAACCCGGACACACGCAGACACCGAAAAGAGAGCGACGCTCATCTTCAAGCAGATGGTTTGGGGGACCGAGGGCAGGGCTAAACTTTGCAGTGCCCGGAGGGCTTCGCGGCGAACGGGTGAGGATTTATCCTGTGCAAGTGCCACCGAAGCTGTGCTGCTTATGCATAACTGGCATAACTTCTTGGACTCCACGTGCCTGAGCCGAAAATTCACACTACCTGGAGAAAGCGCGCCGCTCCTTGAGAGCGGCCTGCACTCGGCTCAGAGCACTGCGGTCGCCGGGATCCGCCAGACGCGCCAGCCTTGCCGGCAAGGTGATGCTGAACGCTGCGCCGCTGCGCGTGGTTACTGTAAAGAGTGCGACGGCAAGGGAGACGCATCATGAACCGGCGCGTTGAGACCACAGCTCCGACCACATCACACTTCTCGGGCGAACGGGCACCAAGCACTCGGCCCCTGCATCGCAACGGCACGCATCTCTGCATCCGAGTCTTGTACCCTGGCAGGTGTCGATGCATGCACATGAACGGCGATGATGACATGACTTCCATACGGACGTTTCATGCAAGAGTGTCGCGAAGTCTCTTACTTTGCTGCTCGCCCAATTTGCGACAAGCCATGACACGCATCACTGCCTCTGCAGCACATAGCTGAGGGCTGCCTTGCATCAGCCACCAGCAGCCAAGATAGAACAAATGAGCTGAGAATGAAGAAGCGTTACTCCGCTGCAAGCAGAGTGGATACTGGGAGGCCGGCAGCTCGACCTTCTTCACCCATGGATGCGGACCTTATAGGGCAGAAGATAAATCTTGCCCACGCCTGGAATTGTCGGACTGTAGTCACTGTAGTCTGTTGTTCACTGCAAATTACTTGTCGGCAGTTCCTCCTCAACGGATGAAACTTTGGAAGTCACCGGGAAGCTCCAAAGCCAAGTGGCAGTGCCGCCACGGTCAACAGGGCGGCTCGTCGGAGCGCAGCCTTCAGTGGAGCATGTCGATGAGTCGAGGGCCGCAGAGAGACTTGGCAAGTCTACGGCAACATCGCACTACAAGTACTTACTGGTATACGTACTACTTGTACCGCAAGATTTCACTATAAGTAGATAGTCTATAGATTGGGCGAAAATAGAACTCGTCTCAGCCCTGGCAAAAGCGTCTCCCCAGCGACCCACAACCCTCGAAGAGACCGGATCGGGCCTCGTCGTCTGAGAGATAGGATTCGGCATCCTGGCGTTTTGATGTGCGGCGAATCAAAACGGCTCCACTTCTTTAGAGGAGCTCTGAGCTCGGTGTGAAGACTGTCCCCAAGCAAAACGGCTGCATTGCCCGTGGCAAGCCGCAGGTCTCCCTTTCCGAGAATGCCAGACTCTGCGCACTCTCTGAACGCGGCAACCGTAAGTAACCCGCCCTTTGAGATCGTAATTGCTGGCCAAAAAGTGAAGCTTTCTGCGACACAACGGCCACAACATGCAGCACATCTGATGTGGCTGCGATTTTCCAGGCATCGTCCGCGATCAGGCTTTGCGCAGACATGAAACAACTCTGCGTGCGACAAGTGGGCAGAAAACAACTGTGCTGCTTAGATATGCCGGAAAGTAATCGTCACAGCCGCTCGGCATCACCGCGTTGATAGAAAGAAGCATTCCTCCAGCTTCGCGGGACACCCTGTGTGGCGCCGGTTGAATGCTGCCATCTGTTCAGGGGTGCCCGGCGCCTTGACACATTCCTTCTTGGCCTCAAAAGTCTGCTCCGCGAACAGCGCTAGGCCGGTGCCTTCACCTCTTGCGCCAGCACCGTGCATTCGTTGCTGCGCGTGTTTGTGGTCACCTGGAATTGCAATACCTCACCGCCTCACTGTGATAGCGACACTCGAGCAGTTTTTCCTTCGTCGTGACCAAGCGCAGGAAAACAATGCTGGAGTGTCGCTGACACAGTGACTCAGATGCATCGCTGCATCACCCGTATCAGCATTTCGGGTCGGCAGTCGCTGTGCAAAGCCAATGAAGTCGAGCAATATGGACATGATGCGCTTGCATCATCCTTTCAGAAGCAAGCTCACAAAGAATCGGGCACGCTGGCATCCATCACCTTGGTGAGGCCATCGCAATTTAAGTCAGGAAGCTGCAGCCGACAGTTCCACTCTCATTATCTTCCGGAGTAACGCACGGCACTGTAACATAATGTAACGATACGCTCCAACATCCTAGCAGATGTTCGTTCTTGTGGCATCCAGGAATCTAGGCCATACTGCATAGCGAAACTTAGCGAAACCTGTTGTTCGGGCCAAGCCTCGGGCCTCGCGGAAATTCCCACGCTGAGTAGACGAATTCACGTCACGACGCGACTGATAGCGCAGGCGACAAGGCCAAGAGAGCACCCAAAACACCCGCATCGTGCACTTTTCTATGCAAGCGATTGCGATTGCCCGTGTCTGGACCTGGAAAATGATTCTACGGCACAGAAATGCCATGGGCGCGCATCAAGAGGCAGCGCCCTCCACATTTAGCAGCTCTGACCACTCAATGCCGCTTCAAAGACACTCCGTGAATGACACCAGTCAGCTGCAATGGATTGGCTAGCCTCAGTTGCCAAGCCAAGCGCCGAACACCGTATCTCGACAACGGGCGGGAGACGTGACCCGAAGCTTGCTTCAAGGAGCCTTAGCTCCTGCAGCGGCCTCTCAACGGCGCTCTTCAGCACCTCCGCCACACGGCCCTGCCACAGTTGCACTTCTGCCCGAATTTCGGATCAGCCTCGGTTCTTCCTTTCACGCTTAGCTTGTCCTTGTAAGGTCCGCATGCGTGGCTCGCTTGGCCGGCGTGGCCTGAGCCTCAGGGTCGTCGGTCTCTATCGCTGCGGCCGCATCCGATGCGAACTCTGCGAGCTCCTGCGCAACCAAGGCAAGGTCAGGGCCAGAGACGGGAAATGCCGAGGCAGCAGGGCGCGGGTGTCCTCTGGCGAGGCTGCACCCATCTGCAGGCACCAAGCACCGAGGCGCTCCGTATACCTGAGCTCATAAGCCTGCTAAAGCACCAAAAATTGAAAACCGAAATCTGTCGTGCTGCTGTGCCAGACTCAGTTGCTGCAGCCATGCCTCGGGGAAGTTCTTGACAAAAAATGGGTCAGCGGCGGAGACACGCAAACTTGTTCCTGCCTGCAGGCCCGACTGCAAGTCTAGCGTTGCAGCTCGGCGGGCAAGCACCTGTTGAAGCAGACTTTCTCGCGCGCATATCGCAACGTAGGCCCACGGTCAGCGGCAGCCTCGTTGCTCTTGACTGCATTCACACGGGCGGCTGTCCCCAGCGTAATGTGGGGGTGAACGTTCCTTCGTTTCGGCGACTCTTGCCCAAAAATCAAGGAAGTAACATGAGAAATCATGAGAACTCTTGATATGGCCTGCTGATCAAGAGGCCGAACGGGCACAGCTGTCAATGCATCCACGTACACCAGTTCAGCCGGGGCACGCACAGAGCTGGTCAATGCCGCCACGCAGCGCGACAGATGCTGCGGCAATGCGACCTTCCAAACGAAGCTATAAACAGAGCCCCCGAAGCCCCGAAGTATGCAGTGCAGGTCGGCACCTTCTTCCCAGACGATGCTCGTCACGTCAAGGTCCACCTTCTCCCCTCAGATCGTCTGGAATCATCAGTGTCAAGTGCTCCAGGCATCTAGGCCTAGGCGGCCTAGGCCCTGCAAGCCCTACAACCACTAGCAAGATGTGCAGCAAGCTGTTGCCTGCACGCCGCTTGAACTCCTCCCGCAGTTGAGCAACATGGGCTGGCCCTTCCAACTTCGGGTTCCTTGCAAGGCGATGGTCGTGAGGTCGACTGCTGGAGTACCAAATCGGTTTATATAAACCCCTTATTCTTTGCAGACGTGCAGTGCTCAAGCGTGGCCATGCTGCCCTCGACCACTGCGAAAGGAAAAGATGACACACGCGGACCTTGTAGCAACTTCTTCGTCCTTGCCGCCACCCAAATACAGCAGCGTGACATGATGCTCCTGCGACTGCTCGAGCTTACCACGAGGGGCTGCGTGGCTCAGGCAACTAAGGGGCTTCCCCTGCTGAGGAGTGCCTTCAGCTAAACGGACGAGACTGTTCCCAAAATGAAACGAGCATAAGTGCTATGAAATAGAACTGGCACGAGGCGTGTGTAATCGCTGCGGACCCAAGGCCTGCCTTCGCTACCGAGATGCCGGAGGCTACCGCCGTGTCATAATCCTTGCAGAAGCCGAGAATGATGCGGCCATCACAAGAACACAGCTTCAATTGGCTCCAAGCAACCCTGCGCCCACATCACCAGCCCCTGATTCGAAACTGCTCCCTTCACCCCAGGACCACCTCCTGCTGCTCCCAGCGCTTGAGGAGAAGCTCGGAGGATGCCTTCCACTGGCATGACCCTTCTAAGTAGCTTCAGGTTTTCATGCCGGGGGGATCAGTTGCCACGACAATACTGCTTCCCCAATGTACTGGTGACCATGGAGAGTCATGACCGTGCGCGAATCATCACAGCGCCACAAGCAGCGCCACAAGCGTGCAGCGCGACCAACAAGCTTCCCGCCATTTTATCGGTTCAGAGGATTCAGGAGCTCTCCGCGGCACGACTTCGAGACGTCGCCAACATCTACGAACTTCGAGACCACAACGCGCGCACTGCGCCCGGACACTCCGTCAAAACTCCTGAGGCCAAGAGATCACGGAGAGGATTTCGGAACACGAATCGTGACGGCACCACACGCTAGGCACCAGTTCGCAGCACCGGTTCGCATGACCGAACACTCTGGCTTCAGCAATCTGAGGACAAATCGTCACGGCACAAGAACCTCAATTTTTCTGAGCAGACACCGCACTCGTCACTTCAGCCAGTATCGGCCCATCACAGCAACTTCTGAATAGTGACAGAGACAGCAACAATCTACGACAGTATAGAATAATGAAAAGTTCTTGAGTCGCGATCGGCGAAGGGCCATCCAAATCGACCAACTCCCCAAGTCCAAATCCCGCCTCGTCGAGCTGCACCACCCAGTACCAGACCGGTGGAGGGCCCTTCCTCAGACTATCAGTAGCCCATCTCAAGCAAGCAGGACAGGATTGTCAAAGGTCGGGGCGGGCTTTCGTCCTTCTGGCCCTTGCCCTTGCCCTTGCTGGCTGCGGCCGCCAACTCCCACTCCGCCCTGTTGGCGGCCTGAACTCGGCAGGCTCGTCATTACCCGCAGCGTCGAAAACATCGTCTTGGTCCCGGACGTCCTGTGCCTGGAGCAATCGATGCTCCTGCAGAAGCGAAGCCAGTTCGAAGCGAGGCTCCAGGAGCCCCACCTCCTTGGCACGCTCACTTGAATCCACCCAGGAAATGCACCGCCCTTGTTCGACGTCACGGCGCCACGGCCTCCTGTGCTCTTGCATGGCGTACGTCTTTATCAGAGAGACTTCTAGGCCTCACTTTTTGTTCGACTCTGCACGAGCGTCAGTGGCATTGAGCAGAGATCGGAAAAGAATTAAGGTTACTGCGATATCTTCGGCCTTACCCTCACGACGGCTGAGTGGGGGATGAAAACGAAACACGGAAAGCCGCCGGTTCAGTTGTTTACTGTTGCTCGCTGCCCGAAGACTGCCTTTCATGACTGGAGGGACAGTCATGGAACGGCACTGCTCTAGCACATGCGTCACGACACTAGCCCCTTTTGCTTCCCAGAGTAATTGCACAAAGACTCTAGACTCCAATCACAAAAACTCACTCATAGCCAGGCATCGTCCAGATCCTGCAGCAATTTCATCACCTGCCACGACACTGGCAGTGCAAAGCTACACAAATTCACGGGCCCACAAACTCTGCAATGGCCGAGCCTGCACAATGGAAGTCTGCACCATGTTGACACGTAGTGTGGCAGCAAAGTTTCGGGCTTCCTGCAGTTCAAAGCGCACTCAGCTCGCACACATCGCACAGTGTGTCAAGTCCTCCTTGCTCAGGGGCTCCGCGGCTTGAGCTGTCCTGGTGCTGGCGCTGACCAACAAGGCGCCCAGAGCGGCACGTCCAGAGCCCTGTTCAGCCCGGACCCGGCAGTCGGAACAGGAAGCAGAACAAAGCAATGCCTACTCCTGAAACCCCGAAGCCCTCACCCATGCCCAGTCCGCTGCAGTATGGAACGCAGCTGCGGGTTGTCTGCCATCAAGGTGCCTGTTCATACAGCTGCAGGCAGCTCAAACACACATGGTTGACAATCAACACCTTACACGGCATATGTAGACTTGTGCTTCTCGAGGAGAGCACGATGTCCAGACCCACGCCGGGCAATTCGGCTTTCGCACCAACTCAGGGTGTTCTCCCAACCTCATGGAAAAAAGCAACGCCACCATGAACAGAGGGGAATGGACCACACTTGGATTGGCAAGAAGCAGAAACGAAATCCAGAAGAAGATTGGTTAGGTGTTCTGCTGAAGACTCAGGACCGATGCAACAAAGTCTACAAGCGTGGCTAAATTTCCTGCAGTAAACATCAGCACAGAAGCGGTCTGTCGCATCATCTGGATGCTTGATTTGGACATAGACAATGTCACCTATCACAAGGTCAACCAGGTTCCCAGCTTGAACTGCTCCAAATTGGTTCCAGATTGCAACCAGCATGGACAACATCGTAAGCATGCTTTCGCTCGTCTTGAATCCTTAAACTTTTGAGAATACAGTGCATCTCACCTGGACGTCCTTTTCGCATCTCCTGGACAATTCCACTGCGATGTTGCCGCTCGGTGTTGATCCTTCAGCAAACTCAGTAGTTGGAAGACTGTGCGCTGCACATGAGACCAAGGGACGGGGAGCGGCAAGCTCGGGTGCTGCAGGCAGGGAACATAGACATACACATAAACCGAACGAGAGAGGAGATGATGCTACCCAGTGTCTTGTCAACAAGCAGAACAGCCACGGCATCATCAGCCGCTGCTTCTGCTATCCTCGCAGATGCACGAAGCTGCCACAAAAATGGCACCACAAAATCACTTTGCACGTCACGCATCAGATAGCCAAGATGAAAAGTTCCAATTTTTTGTCTGCAAATCCAAGGATCGCTTTGAGGAAGGCTTTCTTGGCGTTCTTCTGACTGCTAAACTCGTCCTGGTTGATCCAGGTTCCTGCCGGCGATGGTGACTCTTGAGCCGATTGCTTTCACGGAGCATTCTCCGAAGAGGGGAGGGTTTTCGCTGCGTCCTTGTAGCAGGTGCCGAAGCATACGGCAGATAGTGCTCTTGCCGGAGCCCATCAAGCCCCCAATCACCAGGCGAAGCTGCCGTGGCGGCTCCTCCTCCGGTGCCTCATGGAATGAGCGAAATCATTAGGCCCTCTGAAGAACCAAAGGGAGGGGAGCAGAAGCAGAGTGCACGGTCTAGTCACCGACTTGAATCCTGTTGCAGTGTTGCAAGTTCAGATCAGAGCATCGTCTGCTAGAAAACTGCTATGTGGCATCAGCGGCGCGGAGCTGCATGAAGAAACAGCCATGCACAAATCGAAGAAGCTTGAGGCTTAAGGAGCAAGGTGGCAAGGTTCTCATGCTGCAGTATGCTCAACATGAAGAAAGCATCTGGCGAAAGGACATCTGCACAGGTGGTGCCACCTTCTGGTGGTTTAATTTACAGGAGGTCAGCCCTGCTCTTCAAGGTGCCTCCAAACGTCCGAGCATGGACTGAAAGAGGAGCCGACCCACCTCCGGCAAGTCCTCCTGCAGGGTCTGAAAAGTAGGTGCTCGCGCTCGCTGCTTGCTGACATTGACTCAACAAATCTCACATCGCGTCAAGTTCACTTTGCATACTACACGTTTCTGCACAGGGCTATGCCGGACTGCTCCTTTGTAGGCATGCGCCGCACGGAGCTGGCGGATGTCGCCTCCAAGTTAAGACAGCGTTTCGCAGATGCTCTTGCTTGCTTGCTTCAGAGCGCTCTCTCTCTCCCTCTCCCGCCGGCCTGCGAGACGATCGACGTAACCGGGGCTGGAGAAAATACCCTCATCGGTGCAGCGCTCGCACTCTTTTCAGCCGTTTCCGGCATCGTCACTGTCCCAGCACGCTGCAATGGCTGAGCCGGCAGTTGTGCTGGCTGTGCCGTCAAGCCTGGGGTGGATTCCGCCAGTGTCACTGTGCCAGTTCGTTGTAGCACGATTGGCCGTGCCTGTGTGGCCGGCACATTAAGTGCGGGCGGCCTTGGCAGTGTGAGGGTGCATGCTCGGCTGAGCACGACAGGAGCTCTTGCCCCTGTGTTTGTTGTGCTGGCACGTTGGAGGGGTTGCGGAACTGCTGGATGCCCACCTGTCGTCGTGCTTGCACGCTGCAGTGGCTGCGCGGGAACGGCAGGGGGCAGCCCGGTGGCGCCAAGCCTCTGCGGCGCCATCATCCTTCTGCAAGGAGAGCTTTGGAAGAATTTCTCAAAGCACAGAGCCTGGCCTGGGCCAGGGAGCAGCCGCAGCCTCAGGCGCCTCCCAAAACGAATTCCACTCGGCCCTCTTACTTTCATCAGGCCTCAAGGGGCTGCCACCTCTTAAAAGACGCCCGTCTGTTGCAGGACTGAAAAGGCTCAGGAGGCAGATTTCACTGTGTCTTTCCCACGAGTCCCCGTGTCGATGCACGCCCTCTGTCGAGGGTTCGCTTGGACTTAGGAGGGTTTGCACCCCACATCCTCGCTCCTCCAGGGCTGCACAAAAAACCAAACCCTCGGTCCCGCAGAATTTGAGTATCCCATCAAGGTTCAAGATTCTCCACTCCGGGCTCGTCTCCCCAAGTTCAGGCACCTCTCTCACTCTCTCTGCCGTGCCATCCTCGAGGGTCTCGCTGTGCACTGAAAAGCAGGGTCCCACAAAAAATTCCCAGCAGGGCAGCTCTCCACATCTAAGGCTCGTTTAGTTTGGGGCCTGCATTCTGCGTGGATCAGCCGGCCTGGCCTGCGACCAGGTTCCCAAGCGCTGAAGCTGCGAAGGCCCCGTCGCCACAGTTCTGAAGCAACGTGGAAACGAAGACTGCGCGAACATGCACCGACAGCCCAGGCAGCCGATGAATTTTATTACCACTTGAGGATGGCGCCTTCAGGCCGTCTTACATGCCACATCCCATCATATCCCATCCGGCCTGGTGAGCGGTATGGGCTGAAGCTCCCGAAGGGTCGTAGGAGGCACCTTCCCGAGCTTCGGTTCCGTCATGACACGTAAGAACTGCATATGAGAAGAACCTGTGTGCCGGCAGGGTGTGGGCTCGGCGTCCATCCGCTGCTGTCGGCCCGGTTCTCTGGCAGCCTGAATGAACGAGGCACTTGGTAGCCACTGCGCTGCGTTGAACCCCTGACAAGCCGCGTCCTCAATCAGAAAGCAGGCATGGTGTATCAACCCTGATGGTCAATCTCATTCCAAAGCACGGCCGCACTTCCGGGGCAGCGGGGCTGACACGGGCCGACTCCAGCAGAGTCTCCGTTCCTCAAGGCATGACGAGTTCTGCTTTTTCGGAGCTTCTCTCACTGCCCAGGCACGCGCCAGGCCGAGCGGGGGCCGGTCCCAGGTTGTCGTGCGCGCCCCGGGATGGAGTGCCATGAGCCCGGTGTTCGGCTGGGCCGCTAGGCCCTCTAATAAGCGGTGAACGCTCTTGGTGTGTCTGTGCTTCGGGCTCACAACGGAGTTGCAGGCAGGTTGCTGGGTATCTTTGTTGGTGTGGCTGGCTTGAGGCCACACCATGGCCAGGTTGTTTCTGTTCTGTAGACTTGGGCATCCTGCATATGCATGCTTGCAGAACAAATCCCGCCCTGCTACGTACATTTATGCACTCGAAGACGCCTTGACTGTTTCTTTTTTTGACGACTCATGGCTCGAGATCTGCACACAGCAGCGGGCTTGCGGCAACAGAATCGCGGCTTATGTGGGAAGCCCGCGTCCGTTGATTTCTATAATGGATTCGTTGGAAAGGATTAGCAAGTTACGGGGATTTTGGATCGGTGCAATCACACTTTTGTCCAGGGGTGTCATCAAAACTCCGAGCATGTCTACCGTCCTAGAATGACAGCATATTGCGAGGTTGGAGACATATACAAAGGTATGTCGGACCGATGCTTCCAGCAGATGACCTGTGACTACAACGATCATCAAATCGTCAAAAAACGCCCGTGGTGTGCTTCATCCTTTAGACTTTAGGGATTGGTACTTGTCATAAACGGACTGGTGTACATTGGCTGTATGCGAGGTTTGCCAAACAGATTCGCCCTCACCCCTGACAAACCCAACACGGATGCACCACCTTCGGGCACCACAAGATAAACCCAAAGATACCAAGGTTTTGAACGTTCTAACTTCTTACATCCATTAGTGCAACAAGGGTTATATGTGCGCTACCAAAAACTGTAGGAGCCTTCATAACGTGGAATTGCAAACGTCAGCTGAAAAGACGTTGACAAGAAGTTTTGGACTAAGAGGTTTTGTTTGCCATGTGTTTGTTGCTTCCCTCTTGATGGTCCGAAAATGTCCGATAAAAACCGGCATACGACGTTCTTTAACATTGTGTCAATCGTTCCGGGGTTGAACCCTTTTCATCTTGAGCTTTCCGCTTCTTTGGAGCATCTTGATTGAATGCTTCGAAGACTTTGGGCTTTGTGGAAGGCCAAGCATTTCCACATCATTCCAATCATCGAAGGAATCCGTGTCAATACGGGCTTGGTTTGGAGGACAAGACGAGTCCGCGGGATATCATGCGATTTCCATGTAGGTCTTGCTTCGTTGCGGGAAGTCAGACCAGTGTAAAAGCGAAAACACGTGTAGTAGTTGCAAGACACAACAGACAGAAACCTCTGCTCTTTCCTATTGGGAAACAACCAAGTCGCCCGTGGCTGCAGGCACAGCGCATGGCACAGCCATCAATCCACTGCCGCGGGAGAGAACAGTTCACATGCTGCCAGACGTGGAAGCTGAGGCCAGCAATGGCAGGCTGAGCCAAGACCACAGTAAAGCAACCCAAGCTTGTGTTGCACATGCACTTCTGTTCGCGCTGCCACACGACACGCCGAGTAGACGCCGGCGCAGAAATCCACATGCTTCGACGACAGGTGCCTTGAGAGCCTCCATGTGCCCGGGAGCCAGAGCAGCCAATGTAGCCATGGCCTCAGCTTTTTCGATGAGTTGAAAACACAGCACTCGAGGACGAGTGTCCCGAAAGCGAAAGGAGCACGGCCTCCTGCATTGCTGAGCAAGTCACTTGGCAGGGTGATAGGTAGTATGATGTAATATGTCGGTAAATCTGCATGCAAGGAACTTCTTGTAGCCTGCAAGCTTGACACTGGCCAAGGTACCGAACATCATCTCATCTCGTCTCATCTCATCCGTTCATCCATCCGCCCATCCACCCACGCACCCATCCTCCCATCCGCCTCCACCCATCCATTCCACCCATCCCATCCCCAACCCATCCACCCATCCACCCACCCAGCCACCGATCCACCCCGCCACCCATCCACCCGTCCACCCATCCATCCATCCATCCATCCATCCATGCATCCATCCATCCATCCATACACATTGCACGTAACGCAAGGGCTCGAGAGTCATAGTAGATTTCTCGTGCCAGAATGGCATGCGTGATGTGTGCTCGCAATCTCAATGCAAGCGTCAGCGACACAGATGGCAACCTCGCGAAACCCAAGGGCCAACCAACCTTTCGAAACCCATGCCATGCCACCTCACGCCTGCAATCCTATGGTAACCTGCAAGACGACGGCACATCAAAAGCATCACCGCATCATGCCATTCAAACAACGTCATCGTCTCATGTTGGAACCCTCCACAGAACCCTTCGCCACGCCACGCTTTTTGGGAACGCAAACTAAGCATCTCCGGCAGCCTCTGCTCCTCAGGCCCTGACAACCACCTGAACGCTTGTGTCGCGCTCCTGCGACATGTGGCCAAGCACAATGCAAAGAATATGCAAAAGAGACGCCGTGATCATAAACTACTGACGGGCGGAGGGGCGACAAAGCAAACCCGAAAGGTCCTTCAGCGCAGCTCTAACTGCGCCCAGAGCAGGCTCACTGCATGGAGCGGCCACATGGGGCAGTGCCTCAACATTCCAATCGTATTTAAAGGGATGCATTGAAAGCCTCTTTTCTGAAGCTGCTAAAGCCCACCTCTAGCACCGCCCGCTGTACTGGTGCTGATGCAGTGCGCAGGCGAGCGCAAAGAACCTATGGCTACAGATGCATCACTTCAGACTGAACTGATCTTGAGCGACTCACGGTTACCACATGCCGCCACACCTCTAGTGTCTCACTGTCCTCGAAGTTCGCCATCCTGGGATGCGGCACTCACTGCTCACCATCACAGCACAGAGTATACACGCAATGAATAGCCAAGGGTCTTTGTAATTGCTCGCACTGCGGCGACCTCGTAAATGGACAAGTCACGACTGCTCACGACACACGGGCACAACAAATTAAGATGACCTGTACTTCAGCCGACCATCATCCGATCACGCGACATCTTTTTCTCACTACGAACTTTCGGGCCTGTTTATCTGGGCCCTAACCTGGCCAAAGCTGTTCTTCGACTTGCTGCACTGCGTCCATCATGTCCATCTTGCAAATGAAATTCGAGCCGCTTTTTGGCAGATTGCTGACTAACAAGCAACATGCCGTCCAGCCTGCACATGGGGAGAGTCATCGTGCAGTCGGGAGGAAACCTGCAAGCATCATGGCCCTTCATGACTGGCACCGGTTCTTGCAACACAGCGACACGTTCAACTCGCTCCATCTGAGAAACCCGAACAGTCCCTTGGCATTCTTTCCCTTGCCTCCTCGAAAGTGCGGCGATCATTATGTAGCGAAACCTGCCCCAGGGCCTGGCGATTACAATGCAGCGGGCCGGTCCTGCTCTCGAGCGGCTCTAACACACAGCCATCCGGCCCTTTTCCCGCAGGTCTGGCAAGGCGAGGCGAATCAGAAGCGCGGAAGCCATCTCTGACAAAAGATGTGGTGGATTGCGCTGGCCGTCCACAATCTGAGCAGCAGGAACTCTGTCCACACTGTGGCTTTACGGCTCCAAAGGTAGTCGTGAATCTTCCATGTCCAAGCAACCACATCACCCGTCGCCGCCGAGGTCGACGAGGCGGGCTCCAGCTCCAAGTCCAAGCCATCGCCGCGCATGAGCTCCGCGCATCGCCGGCCCTGCCCCAGCCTGAACACTGGCACGCGACGTAAGCGGATGTCCAGAGCTGTCACAAAACTCCAAGCATGCCACTGGCGGAAAACAAGCAAAGCAGCATGCTTACCCTCGCGGTCGGCTCGCCTGTCTCGCTCCATGAGCAGAACCTCCGAAGCTCCCCTGACCGCCCTGAGCACTGCTCGAAGGGCATCGCACTGTGTGGCGTCGTGCCTTGTGTGGGAAGCAGGTGTCCGAGATCGCCAAGATGCGTCCACGCACAACTGAGCTTCGAACACGAGGTCTGCACCCACCAGCAGGTCAAAAGCACCAAGCGAATGCCTGAGATCATCCTCCACGTGCCAGCGCAGCCGACGCACACCAATCCTGAACAGCCCATCACCCGTCCCCAGCACGTGTTGTTCCACGGATTTGCTTGCAGTGATAGTAGCGGATTTAATTCCTCGGATTCGATAACTTTAGGGGAGCCCGTGAACCGATCCTTCTGCAACTCTCATCTGCAAGGAACCACGCGGCTAGTCAACATCTCGACTGGTCAGGCGAAATGCTCAGCATCACTCCAATCAGAAACGTGCCATAAAATGATGATAGCCTGCCTGCTAATGTACCGGACATATGCTAGCTGCTAGATACAATGATGTACCAACATTAAAGGGTAACCCGAGATCACAAACACTGCACTATACTACCTCTCGCACATGCTAGCCTGCCGAACCATGAAAGAATTTCGGATGACACCATAATTCTCTTTTTACGCAAAACAGAATGGTCGCCTGCAGAGAGGTTTCTGCCGTCTTGCGTTCCTTCAGGGCCCCCTTAAGCCCCAGTGCCTGCACTCTGAAGGTCTTCGGAGCTGCAAGGACTGAAGGTACACCACGACACAGCCACGCACGATAGCCGGGAGACACAGGAGCAACAGGACTGCAGACAAACACCGGACCCGGACAACGGGACCTAACTGAGACTCGCGATTGGCGACGGGACCAAGCGAGAACTAAATACCATCAGGAAGCATGCCACTCATGATGTGAACTAAGCGTGCCACTACACAATAAACGCAAACAGGTGGTTATCGGGGACAGACAACTGAAAGAAATGCAAGAAGAGGTAACCCAGAAACAGCACATCAGGCTGTCAGAGAAAACCCACCTCACGGGGCGGAGACGGACTGGAGCCTGAAATTTTCTGAAAGACCGTGGGTCGGGCACTTGACCCTACCACCCACCAGCACCTCACCATCAGGATTTTGGGCGGAATGGGCTCCGCACCTCTCCGAAACCTGGAGTCAGCCTAGGCCTAGGGAAATCTGTTCGAGAGACTCCAGTCAAGATACCGATTCTGCTCCGCCGCGTTTCTCCGCAGATTCGCCAGAACACAGTCCGCGCCGTCTGTGGCCACCACCTCATGGCCTGGCTCTTCAGGCCATGCTCAGGCACATGGGAGCACCGCTGCCGATCAGAAACGGACGGAGCGCTGTCCGGCCTCGCGCGGCCAGCAGCAGAGCCACGAGGCCTGGCCCAGCACCTGAGAGGCTCAAAGAGGCTCGGAGGCCAGAACTCCAAAAGCCGGTTGGGGCTGGCTCTTCTCTGACGCTGCGGCGCCGAGCTCAAGAACCCGAAGTCGAGGGTACTCTGGCCGTTGTCCTCACATCGCTCCACCCGCTTCCGAAAGCTTTGATCCCTGCACGGCTGGATGATGCGGGGGCCTAGTAGCTTTGCCAGGCCGACTGCCATCGCCCAAGTCATTCCGCCGTCGCCACAGTCCTCCAAGACTCCAGGATGCATCCAGCTGAGTCCAGCTCTGCAAGACTCAACTCAGGTTCTTCAATCATCCAGAGCTTCTCTGCTTAGAAAGCGGAGGGCACTGTGGTAGGCACTGGTAGTCAGCTTTTCAACTCAGCACGTGCATCGGATTCAGGAAATGCAACGCTGAATTGACCTGGCTTTTCTCTGGAAGTTGCACACGACATCTCATCTTTGTCTAGGTCGAAAAGCGACAGGAGACAAGCTAGAGTCTGCTAGAAGGCAGCATTCTACCCAATACATACTTCATCATACTTCTGCACTATCACGATCCCCGCTTACATCACTTCCATCACAAGGCCAGATTGGCGATGAGCATTCGCTTCTTGGTCCGCGAGGCCGTCTTTTGCGCCTCACTACGTGCCACGAAGCGGTAACTGTGCGGTAGGTCGAAGAGTTCCGTGGACAACGCCTCCGGTACCATCAACGAAAAGGCCTGATTTCGCAAAGCACGCGATACTGTCGCGACACCGAACTTGGCAAGTCTGCGACTCGACATAGACACGCAGGAAGGAATTGATTCCCCGAAGCCTCGAAATGCAGGGTGGCCCTGATCGCCAGGTTGATGGGTACAGACGCACGAACTGGGAAGACCTGCCACTCACCCACTTCAAGTAAGTCACGTAACTGTGAGGACGGAACGTTGAAGTGCACCTGCTGCGGCCCCTCTTGCGAACCCACAGCGGCCTGGGACAAGGGCAAAACTTGCAGTTTTTTTTTTTATTTGTTCTAGGTATTTTTTGGTTTTCGGTTCGATCCATATACAAAATGTGCAAAAATTACAGGGATGGCGACAACTGAGGCTGTATTCGAGGTCTTTTTTGGAAAATGTTTATGGATTTCGGCCTACTGGTCTTGGGCTATCGATCGGTCACTCAGTCTGTAAATCCGACGGGCCGACCGCTGGCCCCGCCAGTCTACCCGGTTGCCTTCCGTGCCAGTTCAGGCGCTTTACCTTCTTGATGGCACGATGTTCTTTTGCGCGATCCAACAAGAAAGCGGAAAGCTAGGCTTCTAGGATGGGCTTTGCAAGGCCTTATACGAGTTATGTACGTGCTTGACTTGAAGTCGCAAATGGCAAAAGGGCGTTCTTGACTGTACGACATTCACTAAAGCACGCTCACAGGGCTTAAGAAAGCGCGGGTGCGTTCACAGGGCTTAAGAAAGCGCAGGGGGGTTGGGGGTGCCCCCCCCCCCAATTTGCTAACGCAATACCAAGGGAACTGCAGCTCCATCACATCTTGAACACACGCCCTCATTTGGCGATTCGGCTCAGGATATATGTTACACACGCCCCCTTATTTGGAGATTCCGGTACATCATATATCCTACACACGCCCCCTCATTTAACGATTTCGGTTCATCTTATATCTTAAACACGCCCCCTCAGTTAGCGATATCGGCTCATCACACATGTTAAACACGCCCCCTCATTTGGTGATAATGGTTCATCCTTAAACACGCCCCCTCATTTGGCGACACCGCTTCATCATGTATCTCAAACACGCCCCCTCACCTGGCGATTCCGGTTCACCATATACTTTAAACACGCCCCCTCTATTGAATTTTGGCGATTCCGGCTCCTGGCACATGTTAAACATGCCCCCTCATTCGGCGATTCCGGTTTATCCTATTTATTGAACATGCCCCCCTCGTTTGGCGATTCCGGTTCATCATACATGTTCAACATACCTCTCATTTGGGGATTCCTGCTCACCATATATCTGAAACACGCTCCCTCATGTGGAGGTTCCGGTTCGCCATATATCTTACACACGCCTCCCCCTCATGTGGTGAGTCCGGTTCATCAAAATCTGGAACATGCCCCCATCATTTGGCGATTCCTGTTCATCATATATCCTGAACCCCCCCCGAGTTGGGAACAACCGCTCATCACATCTTTTTTTTTCTATATCTTAAATAGGCCGCACCTCAATCGGCGATAACGGTTCCTCACATATTGCTAAACACGCCCCGTCATTTGGCGATTCCGGCTCATACTATATAACACGCCCCCTCATTTGGCGATTCCGGTTCATCCCATATCTTGAACACGCTCCCTCATTTGGCGATAACGGTTCCTCACATATCTTAAACACGCCCCCTCATTTGTCAATAACGCGTCATTTGGCGATTCAGGTTCATCCTATGTCTTAAACATGCCCCCTCATTTGGCGATATCGCTTCATCCTGTATTTCAAGCACTGGCGGACCTGTCCGACTGACTGACGGCCCGGAGCTTGGCACACGGACCAACCGACCGATCGCCCGACTGACTGACAGACTGGCATGCTCGCGCACCGACCGACGCACCCACTGACTGACTGACTGGCGGGCTCGCGGATCGACGGACGACTGACCGACTGAATGGCACTGACCGACTGACCAACTGACTGCCCGGCGGGCTCGCGGATGGACTGACTGGCTGACTGACTCGGCGCTTGAGGCCATTCAGGGGGAAACGAAAAAACTCAACAAAGAAAAAACAAAAAACACACAACACGAACCACCACACCGTCAAAGCCATGCATGTCACCACGCCAAAGTGCCGCTTCGGCCGATGCCCGAGCACGTCCAGCAGCCTCCTACCATAAGTTGATCTGCAGCAGCCTTCCAAAAGAATGTGCGACACATCACTTGGTCCTGCAGGCTCGTTGACTGCACAATCTCCTGAAACCAGGGATGAACAGGTGCGCATGGGAATGGAGGCTTAGGTGCACGAAGCTCACTGCGCATCTGCAAATTGGCATCGTCTCATTGCCAGCAGTTCCCAACCGGATTCGACACTCAGTTTCGATCTGCACCTGTTTGCACGATTGCCATACTGAGAGAGACACGACACCGAAGGCACGAGAATTTGCGCAAGAAGTTCGATGGCATCGGTGAAAGGACAGGTAGATACAAGAGCGATTGACCTTGCAGACACAAGCCCAACAATCGAGCACGCGCTCCTTCAAGCGCTTCATGGGGTTGTGGTGCACCGCAAGCGCATCAAGCACGGGAGTGAACTGACTCATGGAGATGGGGAAATCTGTCGCCAACCAAACACTGCCCGACACCTCCAAGCTGTGGGAAGGTGCAGCGACCCACTATACAACTGACACAACTAATTCGATCGCCAAAAACCACACACGACTACCACTTGCCACCGAGCTGCCCGGTGGCTGGAGGTTCCCAAGCGGTCTCTGGAGCCCAGTGGCCTGCTTGGCGTTGATCCAGCAGGCGCAGGCGCAGGCGCAGGCGCGCCGCCGGGAGCTGCTGTCGGAAGCGGAGGAGCTCCAAGCGTCTCTGGAAGAGCACTTGGCTGGGTCCCCGTCCCCTGCGTGTCTGGCCAATCCTCCAACACCTCCGACTGGATAGAGCCAGCCTCAGAGTCTTGGTCCATTGCAAAGCATTCGGTCGAGGGCGTGGGCACCTGGGACTGCGTTGGCGCTTGTGGCGCCATGTATGGTGCCTGGTGGCGTGCAGCTTCGAACTCCCGGCGCAGCTCTGGCAAGCAAGCATCTGGTGGAAGGGGCCGACCGAAGTAATCTTGGAAGGTAAGGCCATCTATACGCATGCCCTTCTTTCGCATGGTCATTCCTAGCTCACCTCGAACGTCGAACCGCATGCAGTTCCAGCCATTCACATCACACGGCCCAGCGGGAGAGCCCAGCCACGTGGTCCCTTCAGTGACATCGACACTTCCAATGCTCATGTCCCACTGCATCGCATCCGCTTTCACTAGATCCTGTACAACTGCAGCAGCCTCTTCACCGTCCAAGCTCTGTGTCATGTCAACTATCGACTGCTTGTCATGGTTGATCATGAAGAAGCCCCGCGGCATCTGGTCAGCCGTTCTGCCCCTATCCGGTACATCGGTCAGCGGTTCACCTATGAAAACCATTGTCAGATTTCGCCGCTTGCTAAACCGAAACCTCTTCCAGGAGGCCAAGGTGGAGTCCAGGCGCAAACAACTTCCACGCTTCCGCACATGGATCACATCGGAAGGCGCAATCTTATTCAACAATGGGATTACGGGTGACTCGAACTCCCAACGTATCCTGCACTCGAAATCTGGCAAAAAGCTTAACGACTTCGCAATCGAAGCGAGACGCACCTGCCAGCGTTGCTGCAGGTCTCTTTGCGCAGCGTCGAATAGCAAGCGTACTAAGCCCTGATCACCACAGCTGACTGCTACGTCCAGTGGTGACCAGCCCAAGTTGGAGCGACAGCGGGGATTTGCATCCTTTTCCAAGAGATACCGCACCATGGATAGATACTCGGAGGATCGTGGCATCAGCTCGATTGCCAGCATGAGAGGGGTGACACCGTGCAGATCTTCGGCATTCACGTCCACACCTCCCTGCAGCAGCGAACCGACAGTGGTCTGATCCCCAAGCCAGACTGCAGCATGAAGCTCGCAAGAAGGAGCGCTTGCTTCGGGCTGCACTTCTGGCACGGCTTCCTCTTCGTCGTCGGAGGGGGGTGGCGGGATATCGTCCTCTGCAAACAGAGCTGCTGGAGGTTGAACTGGGGGGCAGAGAGCTTCCTCGGTTGGGCCAAGACCACACACCCGTGAGGTGACACGAAGGATGCCGCCTTTCTCCACCTCCTTGGGCACCACCTAGCATCCGAATCGCGGATGGATACACTGCTGCCTACTGTACCTTTAACACAAGCCCTACTCCGCGGCCTGCGGCGCGGTACTGAAGTCTTCAGACCTTGGTTACCAACATCGGTTTCAGTTTGGAGTTTGTTACCCAGTCAAGGCAGGTTACGGCAGGAGCTCCCATGCCATCACTGGAAGCGCTGGCACGACGAGATCGAGCCTTGACAAGGTGATGAATACTGGCCACAGTTGCACAGGAGCGCAGGGCAAGCCCTCCGACGCAGGGATGTTGGACTATCAAACCCACGAAGATTTCCAAAAGCTTCAAGCCGACCCGAGGCAGGGACAGAACAGCGCCCTCTTCCACGACATGGCTGCTCAGCACGTACTGAGAATGTCGGACAAACTACGGACCCCTCAACTCCTGTTCAGGCATAGTTTTCATGCTACCTCCATCTTTAAGCATCTAAGTCAGTCTAAGTCCCAGCTAGTTGAGGTTGCTGAATTGGCCAATGTGACTCGCCAAGCTGGCATCAATCTCTCCATTCAAAGTTGCAGGTCAAGGTTACGTTCCCCTTGCAAGGGGTCATTGCCACCCTCCTGTGCCAAAGAACGGTTGACCCTTCATAGTTGCGCATTGATGTCAGGGCCCGCACGGACTTGAAAAAGGAACAGCTGCACATGGTGCAATTCAGCCGCTATATACTATATACATGTGGCTCAGGTTTCGGGCTGCAGCAACACTCTGAAGTGTGCCTGCCAGCTGACACTTAAGCCTTAAGCCTTAAGCACGCAGCTTCCGGATCCTTGGCGTGTTTCTCAGATATCTTCCAGTTTGCCCACCGCCCGAATGACGGGAAGGAGATCTGCAAAACTCCTGGCAGCGTAATGCCAGCAGGAAGGAAACTGAAGCAGCAGAGGCAGACTGTGCCGACTGACAGCAAGCATGACGGCTCCGGAAACTGTTTGCAGCAATAATATCTGTCTGCAAGCGTCGGTTTCCGGCTTCATCGAATGGCTGCAGGCATGCAGGACCTCTCATGAGACTCATCGGCGCGACCCTCTTCGAGGCTGCTGTCTGCAACGGCATGAGGCAGTCGGTTCCGGGCCTGCCTTTCAGCTGCAGCCGCCGCTTGGCCTCCAAGGATTCCCAGTCGCCGCTCAGGAGACGCCTCAGTCAGAGCGCGCTTTCAGCAGTTCCCTCCCGCTTTTGCTCCTGATTAAAGGCCACCTGCCTTTCTGCTACAAATACAATCGTGTTTTCGGCCAGGAACTCTGCCAAGTGCCGATCTTTCACGGCGATCTCCACAACAAGGGTCTGGCCACTGCTCCTGGCTTTGGGCGGAATTTGGCCACAGCTTGTGCTCTTTCTGCAGTCTCGGACGTGGAGCCTCAGAGCTTCGGGGCCAGCAAGACTTTCCTGCGCCGAAGCTGCCGTGCACTGATGGCTCATGGCAGTGCCGCACCTGGCTTGCCTGGCTTGCCGGAGCGGGTGCCTCAGCGGCGCCCTCACTGCGGCAGAACACCAGACGCCCGGAATTGAAGCAACCTGTCAAGGCGAGCCCTCAGAGAAAGCTGTGCCTGTGAAGAAGCACCGCAACCTCTGGGCACTGCCGATTTAGCCGCATGCAGCAGTGCCAGCAGCAGCCGCCATGCACACATGCATTGGAGACGGGATGGGACACTCTCAAGCAAGTCATGGCGAGTCGCGAACAAAATGGCGTGAATGAGGAGTTGCTGTGCTCACCTGAAGTATTTTGCTAGCCTGCACTGAAAATTTAAGGATGCTCATCAGACCCTGCAGGCTTCTGCCAAATCCCCACAGCTTGTCGCACTTGGCAGGAAACAGGAGCCGCAGATGCTGCAGAACCCGTCTTCATGATGGCAACCTGCTCTCCGTTCAACCACAAAGCAATCTCCAAGTCTGACAGAAGCTCGTTACCAGCACCTCCACCACCAGCTCGCGCACTTGGCTCGAATCGTTCCCGAGAGCTGCCGAGAGCGACTCGAAGGCCTGATCACAGCTTTCGCAGCTCAGCGAAGGGCCACACGCTTCTAGCTGTAGCTGCTCACTCTACCCCTCACCCGGGCCTGAGGATCTCCTGACAGTGCATGCCGGACATGGTGCAGGCTTTGTCAACTTGCTGCTGGATGCACAAACCCAAACACCAAAGAAATCGTAGAATCGCCAAACCTCAAACATCCAAACACATTGAGCGCATGTGCTTTGAGTTCCCACACTTGAATGGCCAGTGCTTGAATCGTGGTCTGTGCTCGAATAGCGCTTGAATGCTTTCGCACATCGGAGAACATGTAACAACTAGACACTCTGTGTTGCACCTTTCGTGACAATCTTTGGCAGCAACTGGGCGGCCTGTGCCAGTTGCAACAAATCAATAGCAATGATGCATGTCCGTGCCGTCACGACAGACATTATTCTCTGTTGACCAGGATTTATTGCACACTGCGAGGAGCCGCAGTCTGCGTCAACCCTCAGCGGCGCCTTGGACCTGACCTCTGGCTCTGGATGGGTCATCAGGCGAGAGACCACGGCGACAGCAATCGGGTCGCCCTGTGCGACACCTGACGCGAGGAGTCAAGTCACGGGCAACTGCTACAAAGGGAAATCCCCCCCCGAGCCAAGGATCAGCGATCACCCCTGGATCCGGCCAAGACACACTGTGAGAGCTCGTCCAGAGCTGCTTGAACCCTGGAGGAGCAAGCAACTGCAGAGTGCACAGACCACATGGGCCTGCCAGCTTTCTCGTCCAGGTCGCCATTTCGACTGCGTCGACGAAGCCACAATCGTACCCCCTACCGCGGAGTCCAGTCGCATCAGCAGGAAATCCTTGGCTGCATCGCGGGAACACTTTCCGGCTTGCACAGCCTCCAGCCCAGCAACCGCCTCCACGTCATTCTGCGTGCTCCATGGAATGCGTCTCTGCGCTCTTAACTGAAGCAAGGCTCACATCGAAGCTTGGCAGCTTTCTTCTTCTCCTTCAAAGGGGATATCGTTCTTCTTGCGCCCAGGCGGGCCAGGTCCGGGTTCCCGCTATTTTGGGTTCCGGTTCGGGCTCCCATGAAAGAGTGACTAGAGACGAGAGAAGTTGCAGCGGCTGGCTTGCGAACTCAGGAATCAAATTTCGATCTTCACAGCCTTGGTAGAAGCACCGGAAGAGCCGATATAGGTGGGTCCTCCTCTTTCGCATTTGTAATGGACTCGAAGTGCTCCCCGATGTAGGGCAAAACCTGGTCACTGTATGTCACTGTGACATGATGGGTTGTTGCAAATGCTACCGATGTAGATCCAAGTGAGTTTTTGCAATGCAATTCCATGCCAAATGCTGAATTTCCTCGCCTTCTGTTCGAGTTCTTCGACCGTAATATTGCCATCTCCATCCACCTGAGCCAAGCAAAATCGGACTCAAGCCTCTGCTCAAACTGATGCTGCCAAATGCGCATTGCGCACCTGAAAGTTCTCGCGGATGAAATTGTCCATGGCCCTTGCGTGTAGTGGCAGCTGCACCGCTGCCACGGTGGCAAGCTCTGAAACGTCCAAGCGCCCTGTGCCTGCAGTAAGCTGCCGTTGGCTTGCGTTGGGCGGCTACGTGTTTCTGACTGCACTACACCAGGCTCAAAGAGACTAGCAGAGTTTAGCAGGCTTGCTAGTGTGCGTGGGCCGCGCCTTTCCAGTCCAGAAACGCGATCAAGGCTTTCTGGTCACTCATGGAGGGCATACTCACGAAGCCATCCTGACCGTTCGGGGAACGTGCTGAGCCGTCATCTCTAGCCGGCAGTCAAGAAACAGAAAGTATCCGAGGCTCCACTTCTTGTCGCGTAGTCGGGCTTTGTCCCCAGGCGATCTTGAGATTGTCGAAGCAGCCGTCCTTCCAAGACGGCTGAAACGAGGACTTTAGCCGAAACTGCACGTCTGTCCAAAACCTGCATTGTCCATGCTAAGATGCTCTTCGAGACGTCTTGGTCCTTCAGCCGCTCCCCTGAAAACGCCCCCTTGTGGCTGAGCATCAAGGTGAAGCAGCCTGCACGACAGCGCCATGCAGTTGCCGACAGTGAGCCCACCGGAGACGAAAGCACCAGCCTACGTGGTACAGGTCTCTCTCGATCCTCTTGCCCTGGTAGGTCAAAGCCCCCACCTCCTTGCAAACGAGGCGGGACTCATCACGATGCCCAACAATCGCCTACCCTAGTGCATAAAGCTGCCTGCAGCTATGTCTATGAGCCGCGAACCCACCGCCCTGCTCTTCCTCGCCTGTGGCGATCGTCCCAGATCTTCGCAACAAATAGGACAATCCGCAGTCTCCTTGGACAACTGCGCTCCACAAGAACAGCTCCGCTTGAGCTGTTCGAAACTCGAGTCTCACGCGCGAGGAAACGAGGGGACCAGCGACAAGCTCATGTTTTGCGGATGTGTTGGACGGATCTGAGCAGATTTTGCAAAGGGTTGAATACACCAACCTGGCTCCCTTAAAAAAAACTGCGGCCTTGAGGCCTGCCGCATACACCCCAGATTCCCAAGATTTCAGCTGCAGCTTGCCGTGCAAGACAGGAAGCCAAAAACAGCTCGTATATCGCAACAAGTGAAAGTGCCGACAGTTCCAGATGCACTCCGGAATGGCGATTTCTCGCTGACAGGTCCAACTTGCAGGATCTGCCGTTCGCCTTACAGTCCCGTGAAAAAAGGCCGTCACACATACACGCGACGTCTAACACCTCACGAAGCCAAAGCAAAGCATGTGTGCTGAGATGCAACCATATCAATGACCCAGCCCAAAGCGGAGCTCTCGCTGTGAGATAGCTTACATTTACAAGGCCATCAAGTTTTCAACACTGGCCGTGATGGGAAGCCATGACGCCCAATGATTGAGCTCGAGGTCTGGATGAAGATCGTTGCTTGGTGTCCTACATGCTGCCGGCCGGTGAGAAGCTAGCAGCTGCCGTTATCGCCTGAGTAACCCACTCCGATCTGTGCGAAAGGAAGCGGGGCATCCTGTAAATCACTTCCACAAGTTTTCCGTCGCGTTACTCCAACGTCATAACCTTGTCTACCGCGCCCACCCCCCCGTCTTGCCGCATGTCTCTTTCCCGTAGCAGAAAGAAGTTCGGCAAAATCGCTGACTGCCTTTTGCTAAAATAAAAGTGGCATTACTCCTGGGCACTGAAGCGCTGCGTAGATCATACTCAGTGAAATCACGATCGAACACTGCCGACCAACAATCTCAGACTTCAGTTGCAACGAGCGTCTTTTTCAGTCTGCTTGCCCGCTTCAGCCCCCTTCTCGCCGAACGGAGGAGGCTCGGCCTCCTTGGTTACATAGTTGCTGTCAGAAGGAGCTAGAATACCAGACTCGTGATAATAGATCCGCATCCACCAGCTATTCGTGCCAAGCCTCTAAACTGCTGTCGATCTCTGGTCGCCTTGCAGGTCTGTTGCAACTTTCAGCTTTCATTCGAAGCTGCACGAACATACCTGATCAAATCCACAACAAGCCCTAGCAACCTGTCTTGGTATAACTTTCAGCCACATTGATCAGTCTTGCATGGCATGCCCATGCAAGCTGCCAACAGCATGGAATGTAGCCGACCAGGGGCCAGTCTTCAAGTGGCACATGGCTTCAACACCATTTGTGTTGGCACTGGCTGCGTGAGGCCTTCTTGTTTCCGGCGATCCCCCCCTCATGACACCCCCTGCTCGCCCGTACTGCTAGTACTGCAGACCCGTCAAAGTTCGGTGCTTGAACCATTCGCCCGCCATCGCCCGCCCCTGGCCCCCTCCCAGCTCCCAGCTTCTGCAGAAAAGAGCCGAACAGCGCGTTAGTTAAAGCGTGTGATGCGTCCTGCCTTGGTGGCTGCTGCCGCTGCAGGGCATCGAACCTCAACGGCCTCACTGGCTCGTAACCTTCCGCGGCACTACCATCATCCGACGTGGCATCCTTAGAAGCAAAGTCTCGGCAGCATCTACAAACACGGCTTGTTTAGCAGCCACTCGAGGGTTGCACACCTTTCACGGCAAATACCCACTCGGAGTGCAAGCGGCGTGTAACGCACACTGCGCGAGGAGGATCCTCCGACAATTGCCTGGCGCAGCTGTACGCAGATCTCGACTTGGTGCTGGCTGGAGTCAGGGTCAAGCCCTCACATGCCCTGACTGTGTGCCAATGGGTGCAAACCATCTAGCGACGGAAACATCATGTAGCAGCACTGTTCGCCTCGCCTTGGGCAGCGTCATCAGACCGTCCCATGATGCAAGGAATTAACCAGCTTTCATCTCTCCTATAAGCCTCCTGTAGCGGAGGCTCTAGCTCTTGAGGTAGTGTCGCAGGTCAGATCTCACAGTGACCAGTCCTCTTAGCTTTCGACGTTTACCTTTAATTAATACATCTGTGGGTAGAGTACGGGAAAGCAAGGCTTGCCCATACAGACAAATAGCTCGCTTTTGCGACAAGCATTTGAACTATGGCGGCCTTCAGGCTCACAATATGTACAACAAACCAGCTTGAGGAAGCGCGCATCAGGGCATGGTCAGGAAACTGCCACAACCCACAACGGCCCGCATAGGAGCACCTATCACCCCTGGCAGCGAAAAACAAACGGACGTCGTCGTGTGCAATGCAAAATCGGCATACTTGAGAAACAGCCAGACACCGGGCGTTGGCTCGCACCTTTACGAAGAAGACGTTCTTCAGGCTAGCGAAGGCATGGAAGAGGTAGTTCTCGCTCTTCCAGAAGATTTGGCCGAGATGCTCGTAGTACATGGACCTGTTGCCCAACAAGCAAGTTGCACATTGACTCAATCCCAGCATGACTCGTGAAACCCAAAAACCCAAATTCCACAGCCCCGATGAAGTCAATTGATCTGTATCTGCACAGATGAACACCGGGCAGAACGACTAGCAGCGACGTTTGCCGGCCTAAGGTGTGGCTTCGGTCGCTGATTGACCTTCCCACAATGCATGCAAGTATGGGATCTGTGCAGAATCAGCACTCTGAACAGAATCAACAGCACAGCCTTTCCAAGAGCCGTCATGAGATCGCAGATCTCTGAGGAGGTGTTGTAAGCCTCACCTTGCGAACATATCAACTCTCCAACTCCCGATGACTTGTCCACAAGTTGTCAGACTGTCCCGAGGCTGCCACGCCAAAGGTCTAGCCTCATTTGCAACTGCCAACTGAGAACGATGCCAACAAATAATAGGCAGCACACGACTCTGAAAAGCTACTCTGTGCGGAATGCATGGGAGCATGGCCTGTAGCTGCCCTGAAACTTTAAAGTTCAGCTTGGACGGCGGCTCTGTAGCAACTTGCATTTGACGGCAACGCCTCGGTACTGTGCTTTCATGTGCTTTCTACACGCAAGACTTTCTGAATCTAGGCTGGGGTCTGTGGCTCGAGAACTAGGAGGCCCGCGTCTCCAGAGTCTTCGTGATAGTGTCCACGTTGTTGGGTTGCACCTGATACACACTGTTGCCGATCAACGTGTGCACATCGTACCACGGTCTGCCGCGACAACAAGCAAGAACACCACACCACTGCCATGTGTTTTGCTGGAGTTGATACAGGAGAAGAACGACACGTCACCGAGCCCATGTAGCAAAACCTTACTACATGGACCTGGATGCCCTAGAATCAACTTCAGATTTCTGGCGCACCGGATTCTGTCCAGTAGGACCGGTGCGCTTGGAAAGGTCCTGGCCGGTAGTCACACAAGGACGCATGATATGCTTACCATCGGAGACATGAGGGAACTGTTTCGCTATGATATGGTCTATATGAGATCACGGCACTGCCTCCCTCTGCATGACTGGGACACTGCAGGTCGAATCAGCACAAAATATCAAGGCGATTGCCTGGAAGTTCTTCCTGAGAATATCGCACAGGCGCTTGAACCTGTACTGCGGACGACAACATCAGCACAGACGTGCTACCGACTCAATGGCTCGCCATGTCTGACTTTGGCCGTTCGTAGCTTGTGCTGGTTCCGAGGCCCGGTGCTCACATCGAGTCCCTCCTACATCCTGAGTCCCTGGCTCCTGAGGCCGTGTGTTTGCGCGGCAGAACTCGAAAGCTTGTCGTGAAGTCTCATGATAGACCTGCTCGCAAGACTGGCGAAGCCAAGCAGACACGTATGCAAAAGAGAAAAGGATATTGGTTTGTAAACACTGAGACCTAAACTGGCTTGGCTGCATGTTCGAATCGAGGACTTCAAACTACCAAACATGTTGTGTTCCTCCTTTCTGCTTCTGTCAGAAATACGGCGTCCGGCAAAAGAGCCGGGATGATGCATGCAAACCAGCACCTTCTTGCAGCACATCTTTCGAAGCCCTCCCTAAGAGTGGCTTCCAGCGACTCGCAAGTTCAGGAGTTGTGGGCAGGGGCTTGCCTCCTTGGGGAGATCTATGCGGGTCTTCACGGTCTTAAGGGCATCAATTCCAGAGCACCAATAGCCCATCGATTGGAGCGAAGTCAAAATGGCTTACGAGCAGCAGATGCCTGGTCAGACTCCGAATCCCCTTGGTGACGCTTAAACGCAACGACCCGCCCAAACCGTTCCCCCGAAGGTCGTGTGTGTACAGGCGGATAGCGCAACGACTTTTACACCTGAGAGTAGTGCCTCAGCCACAGTGGGGCTACCAAAGAGCTCAATACAAAGTGCTTGGCGCAGCAAGGCACAAGCTAACCAGGATTCTGCAAACGTCCCGACAAAGGAATCCCAAAATCCCTCGACCAAAAACCACTGAAGCAAACTCCATCTGACATCTCGACTCGAGTGCCAAAACTAATCAATCGCCTCGTTCCTACGCGGTTGAGACATACATTTTCCCGAATACCAAGGAACACCACAACAGCGCAAATCAGCTCGCTGAGCCCCAGAACCTTCTTCCTGAAATCTTCAGCCAAACACCCCACAAAGATCAAAATACACCAAACAAACTCAGCCTGTCAAGTACTCATGCTTCCTGACAATTTCTTGCAGTCGACAAACCCGTGGCCAACTGAATCTGCTGGCTACAACACGAACGAAAAACTGAAGAGCCTCCTCAAGTCGGCTGTTGGACTTCAGCACATCCAAGATCACCTTCCAACAGCATACAAAGCAGGAGCCAGGCCCCCTCCCGAGTTTGGCTTCGGAGCCGCAGCACTAGCAGACTAGCACGGAAACTACTACATCTTGGAAGGAGCCAATCGACACCACAGCACAGCAACAGCATAGTGCAGTCAACTCAAAAAAGGTTCTCTCACGAAGCAACCCCAGACGCCGTGACAGAGCTGAAGGCGCTCGAAACAGCAGAATGACATCTAGCTGCCTACTGTGCCAATCCAAGGAATAATCGTTTGGCTCCTGGCCTGGGTGGAAAAGCTTCCGGCACGTCTCGAAAACACTCGTTTCATGTGAGGTTGCAGGAAACGCCTGGCTTCGACACCTTATCGTGTTCTTGTCAGCTCAGAGGTCAGTCCGTGGCCTTGTAGGTTTCCCATAGGAAGCGGAAGTGGGTGTGCACATCCTTGTCCTGCCGAGATGTTACGAATCAAGCCCGGCCAGAATCTGCAGGAATTTGGCAGCAGCTTCCCACCCGGACCTGGCTCTGCTGGCGTGTGTCGCCTGCTTGGATGGCCTGGAGCAAGATGGTCTCGGGCCTCGGCGCTCTGTCATCTCTCTGGACAAGGGGCAACAGCGAGAGGCCTTTTTTTCTCTCGTTTCTGCGACTCACGAAAGCCGGGCTGTGTGTCTACGCAGACAAATTGAGTGATCTCACTCACAAAATTCATGGATGAATCAGCGCTGGATGAACTGCATGGAGCTGATCGCACCGAGGAAGAACACCGTGGGCACCACCAGGGCATGGATGGCCAGCCAGCGGAAAGTGAAGATCGGGTAGGCCACGGGAGTCCTCGCATCAGGCAGCA